TGCACAATTTATGGCACGCCTGACTGTGGGCCTCACGGGAGAGCAGGCAGCGATCGGCAACCAAGTGGTGGCGAAGCAAGCCAACGACCGTGCCGAAAGCACGAAGAGGAATCAAAAGTCAGCTTGGTCAGGAAAGGACGGATGGCTCACCTTTTGTGATGAGTATGATGTCAAACCTGTGCGGGTGCATGAAAGTGGACCAACTCCAGAGCTGATAAAATTTGATTCCAATTTGTTTGTGTGGTTTGCCCTATGGAAGATAGGCAAGATGCAGGGGCCGAAGGGCAAGGGCCGGGGCCAAGAGATCAACACGGTATTTCGGAATATATCAAGCATCAAAGGCTACACGAAGGAGAACTGGGGGCTTGAGGTCGAGCTTGACCAGAACTGGCTCAACAGCCAAAAGAATGGCTGGAAGGTGGAGCGGGTTAAGACCCAGGGCCCAGCTCCACGGTTTCGGAAGCTTGCAATTGTGGCTAACCATATGATCCAGATGAAGCGCACTCCGATTGATTGGGCAAGGGACTGGCCCCATACCTTCTTTACCATGTGCCAAGCGGCCATCGAGAACGGATGGCGGCTGGGCGACATGACCAGCAACAAAGCCTTCAATCCAAACATCAACTATACGTTAAGCGACCTCAAGTGGTTTGATGAGCATAACAATCCCACCAATCCGGAAGGCCAGCCGAACCTATTTTAGAGAGAGGGAGTTTAGCTAGTAAACTAGGGTAGTGGGGTGGGCCTTGAGGCTCACTCAACTTACCCTTTATGCCAAATTATTATCTTGATTGACTAGAAAGCTACTTTCCAAAGTAAAACCATAAATTCCTTCCAACATTTGCCTCTTTCATACATAACCCGCAATTTTCTCGGTAAATCTGTCCTTATAAACTCTTTGAATCGTTCCTTTTGTTTCTTACGATCTCTTTCAAGAGACCAATGCCCATTAAGGCGTTTCGCAAAACCGCTCTCTATACAATCCCTAATATACTTTCCACAAGTAGAACATAAAATTATACCGTCCTTGGAACGCTGTCCCTTATCACACTTGAAACATTTTAACTTCGTCACACCTTCATTAACAATAAAATGTTTAACACATTCACTACCTATGCAAATAACTTTATTGGAATTTGGTAAACCTATAAAATGATTTCTTAATATATCGTGTCCACACGGACAAAATAACACAGGTTTGTATTGAAAAATATCAAAATCAATGTTCATATCACGACAAGCCTCATCAATTATCTTTTCATTTTCCTCATTTCTTTTAAGATTTTCATCTACTCAACGGAATCTTGACTTAAGAATTTTCCACGAGACTAGTGGGGTTCGTTTAAACTGCAAGTACCCAGTTCATTGAAGGGTAGCCTAGCTAATTCCCTTTACATACACACAAGTTGAACTTCCCGCTGGCTCAATCAAGCAACTGACAAGGGAAAACATCGGCAATGATTTTGTTTGTGCGTGAAAAGGACTGAATTTTCTCTAGGGTGACAAAGCCATCTTTATTGTCATCAACCAGCCCTACCTACGACAATGAGATTTGTGCTGAGGGTTGTGAAGACGCAACTTTGGTAAAAACGAAGTGGTCGATTTCGCCCGGGGAGAAGTTGGCGAATTTGCGTGTTAGGAGCTTTCTGCAATCGTCATGACTGAGTGAACAAGATTCCCGGAGCGCAAATTCAATGCATTCAAGCCAAAGGCCGTGTCGTCTTTGCAGCTCTACACAAAAAAGGTGAGTACAAGCAGCGGGATTTGGCGCGGGCATTTGCTCATGATGAGAACAAATTCAT